TTTTCTTGAGAGATTTTTGCTATAGGGCACGTGTGCTCACCAGAAAGACAGAGAGACAGAAAGCGAGAAATCACCCCCTAGGGGGGATGGCCATGCTGCAATCCCTTCTCATTCATTCTCCTCTTGGGATCTTGAGCACGCACGCACACACACAGACACACAAACACACACACACACAGTGTGAGTTTAAGCCACCAGTTCTGGACTTGAACCGTAGTCAACTACATGGGAGTCCAGTGACATAGCCATTACACCAACTGCTGGTCCTTTTGATTTTCTTTTTATGGTATGTATTTCTTCTTTAAAACCATGAAAGAACTTCCTCATGTCCTGAAACTCATTGTCTCTTTTCTCATGAACCTTCTGGAATTCATTGTCTCTCATCTCTTGCACCTTGTTTAGTTTTGTCACTATGAACATACTTCTGAATTCTTTATCAGACGTTTCCACAACTTCCATTGTACTGTCTGTGGATGATGAAGGGTTGTTATTTTTCCTTGGGGGAGAAATATTTTCTTGGTTTTTCATATTTCTTGTTCTTCTATGGTGGCTTCTGGTCATCTGTTGGATTATATGTTTCTTCCAAATTTCTTGGAATTAATTCTGAGTATTCAGAGGTGTGCTAGAGAAGGTGATCTGCAATCGTCCTACAGTTCCGTTTCCCTGATGTTCACCAAGCAACCTGAGCTTTTGACTTTGGAACTGGATATTACAAAGGCCTTACAGTTTCTTGGGAATAAGTGCACCTGGGCTGAGCTGTAGGGTTTCAACTGAGAGTTTAGAAGTGTGTAGAAGGAGATGAGCTGCGCTGTCTCTGCATCTCTGTACTTCTCCCTGCTGCTCACTCTGCAGTCTCTCTTCTCTGAATTTTAGTCATTTGGTGTTATAGTCACTTTTGGTTAATTGCTTAGAGAAGGTTTCCGCAATTGTAAGATCATGTGCTTCCCTTTACCTTAAGGTACTTCTGTGACAATTTTTCTCCTCTACTGTGTTTTTCAACATGGTATCCACACAAAGAGATTTTGAGTTCAGATTTATAAATAGGAGTTTCTTCCTTTGGCCAGCAGGTTCAGTAAGACTTGAAGATCCCTGTGACCTTGAGATTTTTGTGGTCTGGAAAATGGGGTTTACAGTAGAGATTAGCTGCCTTTGTCCCTCTCCAAATGAATTCTCTAGTGCAGCAAGCTCATTGCCTAATAATTTTTGAAAATATTTTAATATCTAATAATTGTTCATAATGTGGGAGTACAGTATGATTTTACACTGTAAAAATATGTGAAATGACTCATTCACAATAATTCGCATAGCCATCATCTCGATGATTTGTCATTATTTGTGTCATTATTTGTGTTGCCATCTATATGTTCCCAACTGTATTTTGTAACACTAGAAATGGTTCTATCTGCAATTTTATTTCCTTGCATGAGAATTTAAAGATTTATGGCACACAATCTATTGAGACAGATCTTCCCTGAGATAAAGTCAGGCCATTAGGACTCAGTGAACTTGCCAAATTTGTCAGCAGAATGTAAGAATTCCCATTTCTGTTGGTGAGTACCTGATCTGTTCTAGGCACCAAGCTAAGTGCCTGGATACAAGGTTGGTTGAGACTCATTCACTGGAAACATAGGAAAATCAACCATAGGACAGAGGATAGGTGAAGGGGGGGTGGGGGTACAATTGGGGAACAAAATAAAATGAAACAAAACAAATGAAGAAACTTCCTTCCAAAGAGATTTTTTAAAAAGTCATTCTGTTGAATTTTAATGCACTCAAACTTCAGAAACATTGAAGTGAGGAGCGGGGAAAAAAGTATGTTTTAGCATTCAAAAAAATGTGATACAGATCCCTTACTGTCATATAGTGTTATCATAGATGTATAATTTTTTTAAATTTACCATTATTATTTTTTAATTTGTTGCAGAGCATGTGTGTTCATGAGAGAGAGAAAAAAAAATGAGAAAGAAAGCAAGCCACCAAGTCTGGGAACAGAACTGCAATCAGCCATGTGGGAGTCCAGCACTTCAATCACCACACCACCTGCTGGCCCCACAGATGTATAATTTTAAGTAGTTCAGAAAGTTTTCATATCAATAGAAGCTGACACTTGGTTTACTTTTCACAATATCATTGCCAATAACATTATATAACAGCAGGCCATTTGCCTCCTACACCTAGTTTAAAACTACATTTGTTAAAAGTGCATAAGAATATTCTGACTGATAAAGGAGGAAAAGGGAGAGAAATAGAATTCCATTATTTTCTATTCATTAATTAATGGGTATAGCTAATGATCATTAGTGGCTATTATATTCACAAAAAAGAGTCAACCAGACATTAAATGCCTTCTAATGGAAATACAAAACACCACCTACAAAATTCTCTATCTACTTGGGGTCGGCAGGTGGCGTGGTGATTAAGGGTGCTGGACTTCCACATGGCCAACTGTGGTTTGAGTCCTTGACCTGGTGGCTTGCATTCTCACTTTCCCTCTGTCCCTCTCTGGTCAAATTTTTTTAAAGTAAATAAAGTTAAGTAAAATAATTATTTATTAAAAAATCCTCTACTCCCAAAAGGAAAATTCCTGGGCCAGCCCAGGGCTTGATGCTTAAAGTGGCTAAAGATGATGAGCTGGAGATTTGCTAATTTAAGCCTCTTTAGCAGCAGCTGTCATAGCATTCCTCCTTTCTGAGAGCTCAAGCTCAAAAATGCAATGCAACCTTCTGGAAGAGCTGCTGAATGGTCGTTGGGGTGGACTCCCACATGCCCAATTTAAGAGTAGAGGCTCTTTAATCTTCCTAATTCCCTTAGTGGTCTCAACTTAAAATTTTAAACTCGAGTTTAAATATTTCTGCTAGAAAAACAATGTTAACTCAAGGTTTATTTATTTATTTGCTATTGGGCACGTGTGCTCACTGGAAAGACAGAAAAAGAGAAAGAAAAAAATGAGAAATCACCCCTCAGGGGAGATGACCATGCCACAACTCCTTCTACTCCATTTCCCTTTCAAGGTTTTGGGCACACATACACAGATGCCCAGCAGGGTTTTCAAGCCATTGGATCAGATACTCAAACTGTGGTCAGCCACGTGGGAGTCCAGCCACCCCAACCACCACCCTACTGACTGGTCTACCCAAGGTTATTTTATAAGCACTGTTAAAAAAAAAAAAAACTTTATACAAATTAATTTACAGAGTTTAATTGAGCAATAATAATTCAAATTATGGCTTTCAAGGTACCAAAAATTAAAATTAGGTCTTCCAAGTTACCCTGGGTAGCCACACAGTGGGATGACACTTATGCCAGAGAAAGGGAAAGTAACAAAAAAAAGAAGTGAGGGGATGAAGTGGAGAAATAATTGGATTGGTCACAGCTTGATATTTGCCTGTATTAACACAAATTGAAGGGCTGGTTGTCTGTGACTGACTCAAGCGTGGCTGCTGTGATTGGCTGTAACTTAGACTGTAACAGCTTACCAAGGAAGCAGACTTCCATGTGAGGTTATGGAGCTGAAACAGGAGTATAGGGGCCTTTTCAGAATAAAGTTTAACAGTGCAAACAATGCACCAAACAGTGCACCAAAAACACTATGTCTTAGTTAAAAGATGTACGAATTTGCCTCTTTCCCCAGCTCTGATTTCTTGGAGAATGAAAAGAGGAAATGGAGTGTTAAGAGTTCAAATTTCAACTTCTTCATTGTTCTCTCAGCATGTAATAGGACAGGTCTCAGTCATTGTCTGAGGTCTTGGGACAAGAAGAAGCCGGAGACAGGTTTCCCATGTAGAACAGAAAGGTAGATTTGGTTGGTGATGTTGCACCATCTTTGGCTAGCTTGTTCAAATCTGCATTCTCCATTTGGGTATATTGTAATATATGACTTGATAGTCAGAAGTCTGGAGTGCTGGTCCCAGCCATCTGAATTTTCATTTATTGTGGAAGTATAATGTTTTATTTATTTATTTAGTTTTAGAGAGTTTTTCCTAGGGTGCATGCACTCGCTGGAGAGACAGAGAGAGAAAGTGAGAAATCACCCTGCAGAGGGGATAGCCACACCACAATCCCTTCTCTTCCATTATCCTCTCAGGATTTTGGGCATACACACACACACACACACACACACACACACACACACACACACACACCCAGCATGAATTTCAAGCATCAGGGTCCAGGACTTGGAACTGTAGTGTACTATGTGGGAGTCCAGTGCCTCAACCATGCCACCTGCTGGCTCAGTAAGAATGGTTTTTAACTTTCATCTGTAAGGCTTCCTCACTTGACTTCCTTATACTCTGCATCCTCAAATTAAGCTGAAAAGTTTTGCATAATATTACATGTTTGTATAAATGACAAAAATATTGTAACACAAATAAAATTTTATTTGTTACAAATTCCACCAGACTTCCAAAATAAAGTGTTATGAAAAATAAAAGGGAGAGAAGTCTCCTGCCAACCTGAAGATCATTTCCCAAGTCTGTCTCCATCTCACCATGTTGTCTCCCTGCCAGTGGCTTTGCTTTCCTGTCTTTCAGGTGGAACACATCCTTGGGACATATTTGCATGGCTTTATCCAGGAAGAAGAGCTATGATGTGTGGATTGTGAGTCTCCAAGCAAGTCAGACTCTTTAAAAGGCACATCTAGACGTGAGGACTGGGATGGAAGAGCAGGCTCCAGGAGAAGGCCAGGAGCAGCTCCCAAGCCCCCACCATGGCTCTCTGAGAAAGGCTGTGGCTGCTGCTCTGGCTCTGGATGGGGAATCCACGATGGGTCGCAGGAAAAAGAAGAAGAAAGACTCCCGCCCAGAATCTATCATTATCTATCGGTCAGAGAGCGAGAAAATGGATGAGGAACCTGGAGAATCAGAAAGTGGAGATCGGCCTAAAGAGGAAGAGGGAGACGATTTCCTAGACTATCCCATGGATGATGATGGTGAGTCTCTCTGAGACCACTTATTTAAAATCATGGAAAGAAAACCAAAAGGGATTCCTTCAGAAGACATACGGGCAATTTTGCACAGTGACCTATTTCCTCTTGGTGATACATTTCTCCTTGCAGTGTTATAATCTTCATTCAACAGACAGTATTTACTGAACATCTATTAAATTCTATTCTAAATTATATGGAGGAGATCTCTGCCCTTTCAGAATTCCTAGTGTAATTGAAGACTGATTTACATACAAAAATTAGTAACACAAGAACACTATAATTACTTACTGTACACATAAGATAAAGAAACAATCATTGTTGACCTTTATAATTATTAGGACAATGCAAATTATGCTAACAGAGAGATACAGTATGTCTTCACATGTAGTACTGCCAAAAGCTGGATAAAATCTGATGTAAATGTTAGAAAATTGATGTACTTTCATGCATATAAATTAGAAAGTTGAAGCTGCTTCAACCTTATGTCCCAGGAATTCTGAGTATCTACCCCATGAAATGTATGGCGATGTTATGGTTGTGTAAGAATGTTTGTTGCTGCAAACAGAACTGTAGAATGTCCATAATAAGAGTGATTGTGCAATGATAGCCAGATAAGGGAGATCTATTCATGTAGATGGACAGATCTCTAAGACATTAACCCACAGTAAGACAAGCATTCTCTCATGTACTTGACCTTCAAGTTAGAGTAACACAGTCAGTAAGCAAGTCAACAAATAAAAGCTAATTTCAGGTAGCGGGATGAGTTTCAAAGACAATAAAATCACAGTGATGGGAAGATGAGTACTGGTGTGTGTGTGGAGGGTGTGGAGAGGAGATGAATGGTCCTGAAAGCATAAAAAGCCTTTGTGAGGATGTGATATTTGAGTTGATCCAAATAACATGAAGGAGCCCATCATGAAAAGACCTGGGGCAGAGCTTTCTGTGGTAGTTTTGACTATAGGGTGTGTGCACTTGCTGGAGAGAGAGAGAAAGAGAGGAAGAGGGAAGGTGAGGAAGCATACTCCAGACGATGGCCACAACACCATCTCTTCTCTTCCATTCTCTTCTCTTCCACTCTGAGCATGCACACACCTGTGCCAGGAGTGTTATTCAAGCCGCTAGGTCAGGACTTGAACCATGAAGTTGGCTATATGAGATCTAGCTTCCTAAATACCATGACATGGGCTGACCCATAGGCTAGAGCTTTTGAGAAGGGGCTGTGGCAAGTACACAGCCTCTAGGGTGAGATCAACATTGGCCCATTTATGGAATAGAATTATTTCTGTTTCTAGAGAACAAGAAGGAGGGTGGTGAGTGGAGACCAGGGAGGCAGGCAGGGGCCAGATCATGTTGTGCCTTGAAGGTTATACTGAAGAGTGTGCAAGTTGGTGTAATTGCAAGAAGTCAAAGGAGGACTTTAAAGCAAGGGAGAGACATCACCTTATTTATATTGTTAGAAGATCACTCTGGAGCCTCTATAGAAAATGAATTACCTGGTGGTGTAGTGGTTAAGGCAGCTAGATCCCACATGACAACTTTACAGCTCAAGTCCTAGACACAGCAGCTTGAAAAACATGCAAGGCAGGGAACCAGCAGTTAGCGTAATGGCTATGTCGCTGGACTCCCACGTAGTCGACCACGGTTCGCGTCCCGGACCCAGTGGCTTAGAACTCACGCCGGGCGGGTGTGCGTGCGTGCCCAAGATCCCGAGAGGAGAATGGAGAAGGGATTGCGGCGTGGCCATCCCCCCTGGGGGATGATTTCTCATTTTCTGTCTTTATGTCTCTGTCTGTCTGTCTGGCAAGTGCACGCGCCCTATAGCGAAAAACCTCTCCAAAAAAAAAAAAAAAAAACATGCAAGGCACATGTTCGTGCATGTCCAAAATCCTGACACAAGAATGGAGGAGAAGGGATTGTGGTGTGGCCATCTTCCCTGTGGGGTTATTTCTCATCCTTTCCATCTCTCTCCAGTGAATGCATGCACCCTATAGCAAAACATTAAATAAAGAAAGATTACCAAGGATGGGACTGGCAGCTGATGACAGGCTATTGTATCAGTGCAGCCATAATAGCACTAATGTAGAAGCTTGGACTAGGGTGATAGTAGGAGAGATAGCTAGAGAAGAGAGAAGATTCAAAATGCAATTTGGAACTGGTTGATAGGTCCGTGGTAGGGAGTCAGAGAAAGCAAAGTATCAACAGTGACTCTTGGGTGTTTGACAAGAACAATGTAGATGGTAGATTGCAATGTCAGTTACTGAGATGCTGGAGACTGAAAACACTAGGTTTTGGGGAACATACAACCCTATCTGGGCAGCTGGAGTCTGGCCACACTGCAGGCCCTAATCTTTACGTGTGGCTCTTCCACCATTGGGCAAGGAGTCCACAGGGCCCAGGGGACATGCCTACCTAAAGCCTCACTCCCCTACACTCCTCTTCCACATGTACTTTTAGACTACATTTTGCATTGCAAAGACCATAGACTTCCCTGTCTCAGTATCTCCAGTTCCTCTTTAAGGGTGGCCAAAAACTGGCTGTGTGATAGTGTAAGGGTGGTGATAGAAAGGTTGTCGATATGTATGTTGGGAGTGTGATTGTGTTATACGTGTATGGGATGAAAATGTGTGTATGCAGTGTATGTATGTGATATTTGGTGTGGGCATGTGGGGAGGGGTATGAGGATGGGTGTATGTGGTGTTTGGGGGTGGGGTGTTGTATATGTGAATGTAGTGTTTTATGTGGTATTGGTATGTATGGTGTGTGTATATGGTACGTGGTATGTATATGCAATGTTTTTGTGTGTGTGTGATGTGTGTGGTGGTGCATGTATATATGGTATGTGTATATAGGGTGAGCTGTGTGTGTATATGTGGTGTGTATATATGTGGTATGGGAGTTTGTGGCATGAAGTGTAGTATGTATATAAGATATATGATATGTGGTGTGTGTGTAGTGCTTGTGTGTGTGTAGTGTGTATGTGGGGTATGTGGGTGCTGCATGTGTGTTTGATGTGTATGTGGGATGTGGTATAGATGTGGTGTGTACGTGTGTGTGTGTGTGGTATATGGTGTGTGCTATGTGTATGTGGTGTTTGTGTGCATGTAGTGTGTGTATGTAGGCTGTGTATGTTGTGTATGTGGGGTATATGTATGCTGTGTGTTTGGTGTGGATGTGTATGTGTGTGTGTGTGTGGTATATGGTGTGTGCTATGTGTATGTGGTGTTTGTGTGCATGTAGTGTGTGTATGTAGGCTGTGTATGTTGTGTATGTGGGGTATATGTATGCTGTGTGTTTGGTGTGGATGTGTATGTGTGTGTGTGTGTGGTATATGGTGTGTGCTATGTGTATGTGGTGTTTGTGTGCATGTAGTGTGTGTATGTAGGCTGTGTATGTTGTGTATGTGGGGTATATGTATGCTGTGTGTGTGGTGTGGATGTGTGGTGCAATGTGGGTATGTGGTGTGGTGTGCATGTGTACATGGTGTGTGTATATGGTATATGGTGCGTGGTATGTGTATGTGGTGTCTGTGCATGTGGTCTATGTTGCGGGTGTTGTGTGCATCATGGGTATATGAGGTGTGGTGTGTGTGTGGTGTGTATGTGCAGGGTGTGTGTATATGGTATATGGTGTGTGGTATGTATGTGGTTTTTGTATGTGCACATGTAGTATGCATGTGTGTGTGGTGTACATGTGTGCTGGCTGCCCACAGGCACGTGAAGAAGGCCCCTGTCAGGGAAGCAGTGATGGGTCTGAGAAGGGAAGGGTGACTGCCCATTATCTAATTGCAGACACTCAGACCCACAGACACTCTTGACACATGTGTTGATGCCATGAACAGTATTATCATAGCACTGTCAACTGGAAATAGGATTGTTGGAAAGTGGTACCTGTAGTATGTTTCCTTACACACGACCATGTCACAGAGTTCCTACCAAGACTGAGGCCCAGGAAAGTAGGGAGAGAACATGAAAAACAAGTTTGATCTGCTTAACAGTCTTAGCAGGGCCCAGATGAGGGGGCAATAAGAGTACTGGTCACCCTTGATTGCTGACTCTAGCACTGTGACAGATGCTGTGAAAAAAAACACTCTAACTCAGCAGGAGAAGACATTGGAGTGAAACATCCACTCTCCTGATGCTGGCTCTCACCTTTGTGCCCTACAGGTATGTGGAACATGCCTTTGGACAGCCGCTACGTCACATTAACTGGGACCATCACAAGAGGGAAGAAAAAGGGTCAGATGGTGGACATCCATGTCACATTGACAGAGAAGGAGCTGCAGGAATTGACCAAGCCTAAAGAGTCATACAAGGAAACAACATCTGAAGGAAGAAAGGCCTGCCAGGTGGGAGCAGATCGAGGGCCCCACGTGGTCCTCTGGACACTGGTCTGCCTGCCTGTGGTTTTCATCCTCTCTTTTGTTGTCTCTTTTTACTATGGCACTATCACCTGGTACAACATCTTCCTTGTGTACAATGAGGAGAGGACCTTCTGGCACAAGATCTCCTATTGCCCCTGCCTCATTCTCTTCTATCCAGTGCTCATCATGGCCATGGCATCTTCCCTGGGTCTCTATGCCGCTGTGGTCCAGCTCTCATGGTCCTGGGGAGCGTGGTGGCAAGCTGCCCGGGACATGGAGAAAGGCTTCTGTGGCTGGCTCTGCAGCAAGCTGGGTCTGGAGGACTGTTCTCCCTACAGCATTGTGGAGCTGCTTGAGTCTGACAATATCTCAGGCAATCTCTCCAACAAAGACCCAGACCCCACCCAGGAAGTAGAAACCTCCACAGTCTAAACTCCCAACAATTTCCTTCCTTCTCTAACCCCAATAGCCCATATATGATCTTACTATTCCTGTGGGTTCTTTTCCTACCCCACCTCACACACAGTTCTTCTGGAAAATCTTAACCCACACTGAGAGATCCTACCATCTAAATGGTTCCACGAGGGCAAAGAACAGAAAAGAAGCAGGTAGTGCCAAAAAAGACCATCCAATAGACAAGATCTTCTTGATTACCTGCCCTCAAATGGCCATTTATCTGGGACAGCGAGCTCCATTATATATCTGTTCACGAGCCTGAAGGTATTATTGGTGCTTGTAAGTCAGACCAATTCAGAGTTTGTGACAAATTGTGACAGGGAGAATAAGGAGGCTGGGGATGGCCAAACCCACCAAGATAATAGATAGGGATAGAGTGAAACACATGAGAAGCTGGGCTACCACAGTGTAGCAGAAGTAAGGATTTGCATGCATCACAGAATCAAACATAGCTGCATCTAATTAAAGCCCTAAAACAGTGGTTTAAATAAGATCAAAGTATATTTCCTTCTTGTATAGAAGAAGTCTGGAGAAAGACCATCCCGGTCCTCTGTGAAGTCATCCAGGCCCCAGGCTTCAACTCCTCTACCAATTGGTGGGATGTGGCCCTCACTGTCCCTTATCTTCAACTTCACTATGACTGGTACGTCTCCAGCGATTATATTTCATGTTTCTGGAGAAGTAGAGGAAGGGGCCAAAAGGAGCATACTCTTCCTAGTTAATTGGCCTTTCCAGTTCAATTCAATACTACTTAAATCTCATTGGTCAGACCATAGTCTCATGATCTAATAGGCAAAAGATATTGGGAACTGTCTTTTCTCTGGGTGGCTAAATTCTGGGCTACATATCGGGGTTATGTTCATTTGAGGAAAAAGGAAAGAATAGCTATTTTGGTAGGCAAGTAATAATCTCCACCTCACAATACTTATTTAAATAGATTCAGCATTCCAAACTGCTAATATAGTTATTATTTATTTATTTGTTTGTTCATTTATATGTATATTTATTTATTTAGGTCTAAACCTTACACAGAAAATTTATACATAGATGTTAGCTATACATTGCATATATGCTCTACATAGATATTAGTACCTCATCTACTTTGCACTTAGACTTCTGTATGTCATGTGGTTTCAGGTTTCCTTTGGAAAGGAATGTTAGAACAGGAGCAGATCATTATGTAACGGTAGCGTAAATTGTTTCATGGTGGTGGGGTGGAAAAGAGGCAGGGGTAATTTAATCTGGTCTCTAGATGAAAACTGGAAAGCGAGGAACCGAACATTCTCCCAACAGGGGTCAGTAGCCCCAGGTATGAAGAAGCCAGATGTAGCCTTCTGTTGTTTGGGAAAACTTCACTCAGGGCCTTACTCAGTCAAAACTTTCAACAGTTTAACAACAAACATGTCTTTGGTGTTCTGAGAAGCTTGTGTTTGCCATTAGAGGATGTGACACAGATTACTCCAGAATTAATAGACTCTGAATTTAAAAACAGAAAAGAAAAAAATTATTCCTAAAGGTATGACTCCTTCTAATTTCAAAATTTTGAGACCTAAAAACTTAACCAGATTTCGGAGGTTTGGGTCCTTCCAAGAATTGCTGGTGCTCTTTTCTTGTTCCTGTCTCAGAAAGAAGCCGTTGAAAGAACTGCCATGAACTGCACGGAGGGTTTGCCATACTCCACCCCTCAAGGCCAGGGACATTTGCCCAATGTATGGTGCTGAACTCCACCTTCAGAGGAACTCTTTATCTCTTTTTTAAAAATCACTATTATTAGTTGGACAAGAAGAAAACAAACAAACAAAAAACAAACCTACCTAGCATTTTTGAGGATAACGGTGCTCTCTGGTATATTGGCATAGGTACGAGCAATTGAAATGAAGGTAAAGAAAATAAAAATAATATCTAATTAACATCTGTTTACTTGGTCTTTGAGGCTCTCCTAAATTGCTTTGAATGCTATGATTAGCAGAAAAAGGGTGAGTGTGGTGGTTTTCCAGCATATATGAAATCATCTTAGTATCAATCCTTGTGTCTTGATTCCCTCCCTATTTCCACAAATCATATTTTTTAGCTATGTCCACATTAGAAAGTTGCAACCACATTTTTCTGGGGTTGAGGAAACCTTCTGGTGAGTACAAATGCCCTTGGGAAATTAGAAAAAATAAAAAGAACTTTAGATGATCGAAAGATTCATTTCACAGGACCAGCAGGCGGCGTGGTGGTTAAGGTGCTGGACACTCCCACATGGCTGACCACGGTTCATGTCCTGGACCTGTTAGCTTGCTTTCTCACTTTCTCTGTCTGTCTGTGTCTCTCTCTGGTCAAATTAAAATAAATAAATTAATAAATAAAATTAAATAAATCTTTAGGGAAAAAAAGAAAGATTCATTTTACTATTCAAAAATAGCCACCAGGATTTACTTCTTGTAGTGCTGAAAAGATTAGTAGCCAACATCAAAAGTTTTCTCTTCCTCACCTCAATTACTAACGGTATTTGATGGACACAGCAGAACATGATACCATCATTGCTCACATCTGTTTGGGATATACATTTTTATTTCATTTCTGTACCCTATTAAGGTTTTTAAGTAATTTTTCCAACTTCCCATGTAACCTTTCAACAATATACCTTGAAAAGAAATTTGCAGAGTAGAGAAAACCTTTCTTTGGTAACAGTTTGCAAGCCAGCAAAAGCATAAACCAAAAGCATGCTTAGAGGAAACAATGGAGGGCAATAGTTTCTTTCTGTTTTCATTCACCAGAAAGCGTTTTGTATTGGCTGGAACAAGAAAGAGAGAAAGAAAGAAGAGAAAATGTGAGAAAACACCCCTATGGGGAATGTCATGCTACAATCTCTTCTCCTCCACTTCTCCCTCCTTTCAAGATTTTGGACATGCACACACCTGGCATGTTTTTCAAACTACTAGGTCCAGACCCAAAGTGCACAGTTAGTCACATGAGACTGAGTCACCTTAATCACTATGTCACCAGTTAAGGGTTACTTAAGAGCAATTATTATAGACAACAAGTTCCCATCCAGGTTCCCATTCTAGTTCTCTATGCAAATAAGAGATGTCAATGTTGATTGGTTGGCACAGTCTCATTGGTTCAGGAACTAAAGTTCAAAGGTTCAGTTTGTGGTTTATTCAGGAGCACAGAAGACCTAAGTAAATCCAGCCGGCAAATGGTTGCTAGACTCCTGTCTGAATTTAGACTGAATTAGCCACTTAAGACCCTTTCTGCATAATTCTGTTCTTTCAAGGTTCCCAAATCGCTGTTAGAGTTTTCTGTCAGAGCACAAAACGCATGCATTTTTATTTTGTATAATGTTTATGAAGTCACCACTCATACAATTCATTCTCCAAGTAATAGCAAACTCAAACATAGGGCCTGACCTTGGTGGCACAGGTGGTAACATGCTGAATTGCAGTGCTGGAAGCCACGTGGTGACTGCTGTTCAGATCCTCTGTCCAATTGACTTGGAACATGACCAGCCGGTACAAAGTGTCCTAGATTTGAAGAATTGGAGACTAGAAGAAGGGGATCAAAGTGTGGCCAGTCTCTGTGGAGAGTACTCATCGTTCTCTGTTTCTTACTGTTTAAAAAATAATTTAGACAAACCAAAATTTAACAGAGTTTACTTGAACAAAGGGTAGGCGATTTAAATTGGGTAGCCTCCAGAAGATGGCTTCTGAGAGCCATGTGGTTTACAGGGAATATATGTGGGCAGAATGGGAAAAGTGACATGTGCAGTAAAAAAAAAAAGAAAAGAAATAGTGTCGTACAAAAACATAAGTGAGGGAGTGAGGTAGAGAACTCACTGGTTACAGATGGAAGGTAGGCTGCACAAACTGCCTCAAAGGTGGGCTTTCTGTGACTGACTGAAATGTGACTAGCATGATTGCCTGTAACTTAGTAACCAGTTCAAAAATATAAAATATCAGGACTAGCAGTTAGCGTAATGGCTATGTTGCTGGATTCCCAAATAGTTGATTGTGGTTCGAGTCCCGGACCCAGTGGCTTAAAACTCAAGCTGGGTACGTGTGCGTGCATGCCCAAGATCCCAAGAGAAGAATGGAGGAGAAAGGACTGCGGCGTGGCCATCCCCCCGGGGGGTGATTTCTCGCTATCTCTCTGTCTCTCTCTGTCTTTCTGGCAAGCCCACGCATCCTATAGCAAAAAAAAAAACAAAACTTCTCAAAAAAAATAAATAAATAAAATACCAGCCTAACAGGTACAATTTTGGCTTATCCAGAGGGATCCAAGTGTGGGAGTATATCATCCATTTTAGGCCAGAATAGTTTATTTTAACATTACATGTGTGTGTGTGTGCATGCACTGTAACATGAATAAATATAAAAAAGCTAAACATACTCCAGCAACTTAAACAGCAATTTCCAAATAAACCGTATTTTTACTTGCCTTTATTTACTACCTTGAAAGACACACATAGTATACACTACAGCAATGATTTTATAAAAATCTGTGTTCTTTCAGTTTTCTGTTGCTGCTAAAACACCTATAATACAATGACTTAAAATAACAACTATCACTAGATTTTTCTTTCCTTCTAATTCTCCAATTTGGGCAGAACTCAATGGAGATGATTGCCTCTACTCAATGTTCCAATGCTGGGATGGCACCATAGTGGCTGGAGGTTGTACTCCATAGACAGCCTTACTTCCATGGCTGCAAACTAGAGGCTGAGTGTCATCTGGGTCACCCTGAGGCTAGTGGTGCTCAGTGAAAATATTAGCCTGCCTTGGCTGCCATAACACAATACCATAAACTGAGTAGTTTAAACAACAGAAATGTATTCCTCACGGTTTTAGAGGCTGGAAGTTCATGATTATGGTACCAGCATGATTGGCTTCTTGGGAGGGCACCTCCCTTAATTACAGGTGGCTGACATCTTGCTTGTATGCTCCCATGACCTCTTATGTGCGCATGGGGGTGGAACAGAAGAACTCTCTAGTGTCTATTATAAGGGCACTAATTCTATCATGTGGGTCCAAGTCTCATGATTTCATCTAAACTTAATTACTGCCCAAAGGCTGCATTTCCAGATACCATCACATTGCAGGTTAGGACTTCGACATATGAATTTGGGGAAGACACATTCAGTCCATAGCCATGTTTCTCCATGTGGTTAGGTTGGGCTTTCACAGGATGGTGGTCATATGGTAGCCCATCTTCATACATGACATCTGCCTTCCATTGGAGCATAAGAGCCAAATCTGACTGGCATTCTAAATAGATCCTAGTTTTAGTAGAGTGTCACTTCTGCCATATATATATATATATGGAGAGAGAGAGAGAGAAGAGAGAGAGATGAGGAGAATTCTATATATAGACACAGGTTTGGTTTTTGGTTTGGTTTTTGTTTGTTTGTTTGTTGTTGTTGTTGTTGTTGTTGTTGTTGTTTTTAGTTTTTTGCTACAGGATGCATGCACTAACCAGAGAGACAAAGCAAGCAAGAGTGAGAAATCACCCCCAAAAGGGATAGTTATGCTGCAATCCCTTCTCTTCTCTTCTCTCAGGATTTTGGGCATGCATGCACACACACCCAGTGTTTTCAAGTCACTGGGTCTGGGACTTAAACTGCAAGTTTGGCGTGAGATCCAGCATCTTAACCTCTTAACCACCTTACCACCTGCTGGCCCCATCCCATTTTTGTATTCCATCCATTTTTTTTTTCCTTATCCTACACTGGCTCCCACATGTTTCCTCTATAAAACCCCTACCCCCACACACCATCATTAGCCACAGCTCATCAATATCTGATCTTCTTCCTTCACACTAAATTCTGTACCATACAAATCCAAAAGGATCTTGCACTGACAGCAAGGAATGGAGCCAACAAAGCCAGAATCCTTTTGTTGTGGAGGAGGAAGAAGTAGCCACATAAGCTGCGACATTAATAATGTTTGCCTCTTCAACCCTGACCAGTTGAGGCTTTTTGCCAGGAGAAGCAATGATTAAAGTCCCTGCCCCTTCTCACCACCTCAGTTGCTTAGTTGGAAGTGGATGGTTCTAAATCTCTTTTTATAAGCACAGCTAAGGCCGACAGGTACAGCTACCAGGATCTCTTTTATTTCTCCCAGGAAACAAACTTATACTGGAGAGTATATGGGGGGGGGGAGGGAAGGAGAGGAGAAAAAGAGGAAGCAGGAAGAAGAAAAGCAAGGAGGAAAGGAGAGAAAAAAAGAGAAAGAGGAAAAAGAGAAATAGAAATTAGGCAAGATAAAATCATGAATATACAGTATGTGGAAGTTTCTTTACTGTGGTTGAGTCTCCAGTAATTCTATTTACTAGTCATATTAAAAGCATTATTGAGGGCTGGCTCCATGGTCTAGTGGTTAAGTAAAACAGATCCCACATGGAGGGCCATGGTTTAAATCCCAGATATGGCAGCTCGAGAAGCACCCAGCCATGTTTACATGCATGCTCTAATTCCAATAGGATGGAAATAGAGGAGAAGGGATTGTGGCATGTCTATGCCCTTCTACCTCTCTTTCTCTCTCTGCCCCTTCTGATGAACACATGCGCCCTTTGGCAAATTAGAATTTTTCAAAATTTATTGAAAAAATAACACTTCAGCTTTAAAAGCTGAATTGAAAACTTGAAGAATCTTTTATGATCTATGAGCACAGTCTGAAAATGTCTCACTCTCTTGTCTTCAAATATTTAATTTCAGCTCCCTCAAGGTTCTCTGTCATCACAGCCTCCACATATTTTCGCTTTAGTTCTTGATTTTCTCAAGTCCAGTTTTCAAGAGGGACAGAGTGGGATAGAACATGATTTCCTCAGTTTGGGCACAGGTTTGCAGATATTTTGCAGGTGCCAGACCGTTTGTCCAATCTCCTGTCAGCTTGAGGGTTAATTGGTACAGCACACAGACATTTCTGTGTAAGTTTCAGTTTGGGCCTGCCTTTTTCATTTGCAAGAAGGGTTTGTGGGATGGACAGTTCCAGTGTCAAGCACTGGGATTGACCGCTGCCATTGCTAGTTTCCTCCTAGGCTAATCTTCTAAATGAAACATCTCCTCCCTTCCAAGTTAGAACCACTCTCAACCATATGGAGATCCTCAGCAGATGCTGTCCTCCCCGCACCGCCACCCCCTAGTCATTTGCACATCACATTTCTTCTCCAAAGTAGAATGTCCTGTCTACTTTTGTTTGCCTGGGTAATTTTTACTCTTCCTTCAAGAACTGGTCCTAAGGTACATGTTTTTCATTCCCCCCCCATAAGGATTTTAGATTACACCCCCCCCCAACAGCAGGAGCACATATGGGAGACAGAGAGGGAAAGTGAGAAATCACCCCCTTAGAGGGGTTGGCAATACCACAGTCCCTCCTCCTCCTTACTCCTCTCAGGATTTTGGGCACACATACCATGCGCCTGGTGTGTCTTTCAATCCACTGGGTCTCAAGGACTGGAACCCAACTGTTGGCCATGTGGGTTCCAGACCCCAAAAACTTCCTATCATTCCACTAGCTCAGGACCTGGAGACTTTTAGAGAAGTGACTTTATGGATTTATACTCAAACTCAAAGAAATCAAACTTGAGAGCTCCAACACATAAAGGGAAGCCAATATTTTGGAGAAGTGGTTAGTATTAGCCTAGCACCACAAATTCCCACAGCTGAAACACCACCATCTTCTTACCGGGGCGAAACGGAACCCTGCGCATGCTCAGAGCTCCGTAGCAATGGTGTCCCCGCCCTTTCCAGGTTCCGCTGGGAGCGGCGCTTTCCACAAGGGTGGGCCAGAGAGTCCGCCGGAACTGAGTAGCGGCTCCGCAGGTTCCCGCCCGGAAGAAGCAGCCGAGGCCCTGCTTACCAGCAACATGGCGCGGTCAAGGAATAAGGTAGAGAGAACCGTGCGCCGGGGATTCAGGAAGCATGGATCGGAAGCAGGAGTCGTGGGATCGCGGCGGTGCCTAGAAGTGCGGCGAGCGGGGAGGTCGTGGTGGTGGGCTGGATCCGGAGGGCCGGGACGGAGGGATGCGCTATGAGAAGAGCTGAGGATTCGGAGCCCGAAGACCTGAATTTGAGCCCCGCTCACTCTACACCCCTGGCATCTCCCTTCTCCCTCTCCAGCCCCTTCTCCCAAGCCCTTTCCCACCTGCCTCCTTCCTCATCCCTTATCCTTACTCCATCCCCTAGCTGTGTCTCTGTTATTTCTCAGCCTGGGTTCTTAAAATCTGTATGAGAATGGCAGTTAGCCATGATAAGCACCTTCCCCCACAGGTTTGTTATAAAACTTAAGAGAGGGACCATGAGTAAAATGACTGAAAATGTAAAGCGTCATATTATTACCTCTATGGTAGTTTAATATCTTGCCCTTATTGCATGTTTGCCCTGTGTGAGGCACGGATCTGAACCATTTCTTCCTGTCTCCGTTTTAATCTTCACAACAACCCCGTGAGGTGAAAACTGTTATTCCCAATAGACAAGTGGGGAAACCGAAGTATTGAGAACTGACATAATTATCCCTTGTTCGCCCAGTCCGTAAGTGATGGGTACCGGATGTGAACTCAGGCTATGTAGTTTCAGAACCCTGGAGATTTCCATTCCTTTAGAAATCTGTGACCCCTGGTGTCCCAGATGGAATAACAGAAATTGCAATGAATTTTAAAGTGATTTTTTTTCAATATGTGAGGAAAGTGGTAGTTGTCTCTGAAGAATCACTAAAGGTAGGTGTGATGTCAGGGATTCATTCATTCATTCAATGCAAATGAACAAGATAGGCTTTGAACAGCTGATTCCTAGTTCCTTCAATTCCCTGTTAAGAAATATTGATTAAAATGATTATGAAGTCATTATGATGCCACACACTTGCTTCATTCTTCCTCTTTCAGCTGCTGAGAACTTTGTAGCTATAGTGGAGGCGCCATTTGTGGCAGATGGACTGGAAGTAAAAGCCTAAACAGCCTGTATTGGCTTTAGTACAGAAATGAAAAGTTGCTATGTTGCCCACTTTCTCCTTCCTGGTTTTCTTACTACTGCCAGAAAGGAGTACTTGAAGTATTGTATAAAGCATTCTTTTACTACCAGACACACAGTTCTGTGTTGTGAAACCCTTTGATGTCATTTTTCTGGATAGCCGATTCCTGGCAAAGGATCTTTAGTAGAGAACTAGAGAAGAGTTTTCCAGTTTGAAAGTAGCTTTTGTGAACATGTTTGAATAGATGTAGCAACATATTTTGTAACTCATAAGGTTTTTTAGATTCTTATGCTCAGGGTGTTGAAATTATGGGATGTAAATTTTGTTCTCAAAGAGGTTGTGTAGTGTGTTACTCCCCCCCCACCTCTTTTTTTTCAGATAAGCTACTTTACTCCAAAAGTCTCTTAGTATTAGTGCACTATGTTCAATTCTTTGCAAACTAGGGAAAAATGGTCTTTTCATGTGTTGCCTGCGATATGACTAAATTTAGAAAGCATCTATAATTTCCCTCATAGAAGTGCGTCCAGATTTTGTGAACACTTCTAAGGTCAGGAGATTACTGCTTCAGAAAACTGTAGTCCTATATCAATCACTTCTAAATGCCGTTTCGTTTCTCCTAATATAGAGTCAAACCAATTAACTTCCATCTGTTGATGTTATACTCTCTGCTACAAACCAGTACCCTTAAAATACAACTGTCGAGTATTTGAGGAGTGGAGAACTATCAAGTTTTCCTTAATCTCATTTGGCTCAAATATCCAGTTTTTTCCAGTTGTCCTTTATGTCACTCGTCCTCCAGATTCTATCCTAACCTCATTTCATGTTCATTGTGATTAACCTTCCTCATAAGATGTAATGCCCAGAACTTCTTACAATTTGTTTAATCAGTACAAAGTACAAGGGAGTCAGTCAGTTGAGAAGTGTTAACTCTGGAAATTACCTTAGACTTTATTTATTTCAACAGTTTACTGTCTCCTTGAATGAACAGTGAGGTTCAGTGACATTTCCAAGGACTCAACTAATCAGTAATAGAGATGGAACTAGATTGTAGGTGTCCAGATTGCTAATCTAGTCTTCTTTTCACCATAAGATCCTTCTTTCTTTTCGTGACGTTAGTATACTGTTAACAACCTAAAATATTTGGAAGGATGGAGTG